GACTACCTAGACAAGCCTGAAGACTTCTGGAAGTCTGTTCTCTGGACAGATGAGTCTAAAATTGAACTATTTGGACACACCAAGTGGGCCCATGTTTTGCGAAGAGCCAACACAGCCTACCACCAACAAAACCTTATCCCTACTGTCAAGCATGTTGGTGGGAGTGTCCTTGTATGGGGCTGTTTTTCTTACTCTGGCCCTAAGCAACTTAATATCATTGTGGGAATCATTAATTCTGAGAAATATCAAGGGATTCTTGAGAAGAATGGCAGGCCATCAGTTCTAAAACTCAAGCTGGGCACAGTGGATGTTTCAACAAGACAACAATCCTAAACATTCAAGTAAGTCTACTAAAGAATAGCTTAGGAAAAAGAGGTTCCGTGTCCTGGAATGGCCAAGCCCAAAGGCCTGACCTGAATCCTTATTGAAATGCTGTGGCAGGACCTGAAGAGGGCTTTTCATGATAAACATGCTTCAAACCTCACAGAGCTGGTGGAGTTTTGTAAAGAGGAGTGGGAAAAAAACACTCCAGCAAGATGTCAGAGACTGATAATTGGTTATAGGAGGTGACTGTGTGAAATTATTGCTGCTAAAGGAGGTGCCACAAGTTATGGACTGAGGGTTCATTAACTTTTGCACACAAGTATCTGGTGATTTGTTAACTATCAGTCTAATCATCTTAGTTCAGATCCCGTTTTATGTGTGGGAAGTCTTTATTTAGAATATTCATTTCATATATTCATATATTCATATATCTAAAATAAACTTTCAAGCATGACTGGATTGTGTTACACCATGGAACCATGAAGTATTTAACTGAGAATTTTTGCCACTCACCAACACAAAGTACTCTATAATGTCAAAGTGATTCAGACATTTTACTAAATTAAATAAAAATAAAAAACAGAAAATAATTGAATACATAAGTATCCACCCCCTTGCTTTGACACATCTAAATTACCTCTGAAGTAACCAACTCTCTTCTCCAAGTCACATAATTACTTGACTGGAGTCCACCTGTATGCAGTTGAGGTATTTCAAATGATTTCCAAATAAATACACTTGTGTCTGGGAGCTTCCTCACTTAGTGCACTTCCAAGGAAACACTACACCATGAAGACCAAGGAACATTCCAAGCAGATCTGAGACAAGGTTCTTGAAAAATACCAGTCAGGGCAAGGATATAAGAAATTTCCAAGCATTGAACATACCTCGAAGCACAGTGAAATCCATCATTAAAAAGGTGAGAAAATATTGAACAACTGTGAATCTGCCCAGAACTGGCCGTTCTCAAAACTGAGTGTCCAGGCAAGAAGATCCGTAGTAAGAGAAGCCACCAAGAGGCCTACAGCAACTCTAAAGGAGTTACAGTCCTCCATGACAGAGATGGGAGACACTGTGCATGAGACAACGATAGCATGCACACTTCATAAATCTGGCTTGTACAGAAGGGTGGCAAGAAGAAAGCCTTTGTTAAAAAATACTCTTTATCACATCTCGGCTGGAGTTTGCCCATGGCATGTGAGAGACTCACAATTTGGAGGAAGATTCCATGGTCTGATGAGACCAAAATTGAACATTGTTTGGCGCAAACCTAACATAGCACATTACACTGAGAACACTATCCCTACAGTGAAGCATGACCCGAAACATACAGCAAAAGCCACACTGGAGTGGCTTAAAACCAAAAAGGTTAATGTCCTGGAGTGGCCCAGACCTCAGTCCAATTGAGCATCTGTGGAATGACTTAAAAATTGCTGTTCACAAACGGTCCTCATCCAGCTCAAGCCATTTTGCTAAGAAGAATGGCAAAAATTCCAGTGTCAAGATGTGCAACATTGATAGAGACTTTTCATTACTGCCAAAGGTAGCCCTACCAAGTATTAACTCTGGGGGGGGATACTTATGCATTCAATTATTTTCTGTTTTTTATTTTTAATTAATTTAGTAAAATGTCTGGATTTTTTTTCACTTTGACATTATAGAGTACTAGAATTCTCAGTTAAATACATCATGGTTTCATGCTGTAACACAACCAAATGTGAAAAAGTCCAAGGGGAGTGAATGAGTCAAAACTCAAACTGTTCGAGCAGCAGTAATTATCTAATTCTGAAATCCACAGGCAGCCAGTGGAGTGAAGCTTACAGGTGATATATACGCATGCCTTTTAATTAATTAATAATTTCTGGACACTCCACTCAAACCGCTTTACAGGTAATGGGGACTCCCCTCCACCACCACCAATGTGCAGCATCCACCTGGATGATGCGACAGCAGCCATAGTGCGCCAGAATGCTCACCACACATCAGCTATCAGTGGGGAGGAGAGCAGAGTAATGTAGTCAATTCATAGAGGAGGATTATGAGGAGGCCATGATTGGTAAGGGCCAATGGGAAATTTGGCCAGGACGCCAGGGTTACACCCTTACTCTTTTCGAGAAACACCCTGGGATTTTTAATGACCACAGAGAGTTAGGACCTTGGTTTTGCGTCTCATCCGAAGGACGGCGCCTGTTTACAGTATAGTGTCCCCGTCACTATACTGGGGTTTTAGGACCCACATGGACCGCAGGGTGAGCACTCCCTGCTGGCCCCACTAACACCTCTTCCAGCAGCAACCTTAGTTTTTCCCAGGAGGTCTCCCATCCAGGTACTGACCAGGCTCATACCTGCTTAGCTTCAGTGGGTTGCCAGTTGTGAGTTGCAGGGTGATATGGCTGCTGGCGATTTTTTGTACTTGTACAAAGCTTTCTACAAGGTCAGAGTTTTCCGTATGGTTCCTATATTGCATTTCATGCAGTTTGTTTCTGGCATGGTTACATTGTTAAAATTGTTCTTTAAACAATGCAGATTGTTAATAGTCCTCAGTGCACCTTGCTCTAATTTCATCGATATGTTTTTCAGTTTGGAACATGCAAACTAAAGGTTGTGTCAAGGTGCTGTATTTCCAAAACAAAAACTGTGTGGACTAAGTCAAATATTTGTTGTACTATGATAGGGCATTAGTTACATATTTTAAATATTATGTATATAAGCTGAGGCACAAAGTACTGCCATTTAAACACCTTGCTCTTGCTATATTACTGTTTGTGAATTAAGTGTAATAAATATAGTATGTTGAAATAACCTGTTTAATACTATTTGTAGTGAACTATTTGGGGAGTTAAAAAATATTACTGTCCTGTAACTTTAATTACTAGAAACTATCACTAGTTAGGATGACTGTGTATAAAGTAAATACAAAAGACTTCTTATTGTTAAATAACTGTAGTTTACGGTTTTGTACTTTTAATAAACTCATAATTAGCAATGCTGTAAACGGAAGGTGCCAGTACCCGTTTATGAATGTATGTAGTCAAACACATTTCACCCTAAATTTGTTTTTAATGTAGCATTAGGTTCTAATGAGAAAATCAAGTAAATTTATGGGCAATACATTAAGACTTCATGATTTCAGATTCAAGTGTGTTCGAACTTGGCCCAAGTTCTTTTGCGTTCTAACTCTTGCAAAACCTGGTTTTCCAAAGCCTTGCAGCATTCATAGCAAAATATGCAAAATTGTACATATTTTTCTGTTCAGTGTTATGCATTGACATTTCATAATAACCACAATCACAAACTTGTCGTTTCTTCTTTCTATAGGAAAATAATGTGCATTTTAAATTAATAGATTGCATGGTCTTATTAAGTACTGGTGGATTAAAGTTACTTTTGTATTGAAACATTTTAAAAAATGTACCCCAGTGTTTTATTATGTTTATATTATATATACCAGACTTTTCCCACAACAGATGAATATACACATAGGGTAGGTAAATTTCATATGATGGGTTTTATTTCAGAGGCTTTTGTGAATTTAGTTAATTTATGACACATGAAATAATAATAATAATTGCTTACACTTGTATAGCGCTTTTCTGGACACTCCACTCAAAGCGCTTTACAGGTAATGGGGACTCCCCTCCACCAATGTGCAGCATCTACCTGGATGATAAATAAATGCTTTTCTGGACACTCCACTCAAAGCGCTTTACAGGTAATTGGACTCTCCTCTGCCGCCACCAATATGTAGCACTCACCTGGATGATGCAACGGCAAGCAAAGTGCCAAAGTTCACCCACCACACATGAGCTATCAGTGGGGAGGAGAGAGTAATAAAGCCAACTAATAGATGGGGATTATTAGGAGGCCATTATTGGTAAAGGCCAGGGGAAAGTTTGTCCAGGAACACCCTGGGATTTTTATTGACCTCAGTTTTATATCTAATCCGAAGGATGACTCCTTTTTTTTTTTGCAGTATAGTGTCCTCATCACTATACTGGGGCATTAGGACCCACATAGACAACAATATGAGCCCTCCCTACTGTAATCTTCCAGCAGCAACCTTATTGTTCCCAAGAGGTCTCCCATCCAGGTACTGCCCAGGCTCACACCTGCATAGCTTCCATGGGTTGCTAATTGTGAGTTACAAGGTGATATATATATGATGGCTTAAGGAATGTCACATCTCAGTAGTTAAGTAGTTGAAGAGCCTTAACCCCCTACTCTACAGGGATACAATGTATATTTATGATAAAAAAGTACATTAACATTTTTCATTTCCTATGTTGTTTGCAATTGTTAAATAGGTAAAAAGATCCAGGAAACATGTACAGTGTATCTGTAGTGTATGTTTTCCTCATATAATAGTGTGTTTTGGGGCTGAGAAAACATCATTCGTGGTTTAACAGACCTTTGGCAATATTGGACACTCCTTTCCTCATTAGTCCTCCAACTAGTGTGTATTTTTTTGTGTGCGTACACCTTTATTCCACAATGTTATCTTTTGAAATGCAACAAGCAGTCATAAAGGCTAGCACCATCTTCATGTCTTTAGTCTTGTCTTCTTCCACTGTGTCCTTGCTGCTCTTAGCTATCAATTTGTACCATTCTTACTGTAGATTTGTGTACGTCTCTCCTCTTCCTTCTCTTTCTTTCTCTCCCTTGTTTTTGTGCCACAGGCTGCGTAAAGTTCAGCTGTGTTTCGGAGAGAGTGACCTTCAAACCTGGTGGCAGAAGGACCCGATTTCTGAGTACGCCCTGCTTGGCTCTTTGTGTGTAACGCTTTTCCTATGTCTTTCCTTCACTGTCATGTTATAATCCTTACTGTTGCTGGTCTTCTGTCATTTTATATCTACATTTTAGTCTACTATGCATTTAGGTTAAAGCTCTGAAGTGTGGTGTGGTGGCAAAAGTATTAAAATCCATTCCAGATTTCTTTGTTTGATGTGCCCCAGTGTTAATCACAACATTACGTACAGTGGGTATAGAAAGTCCCTACCCCCTTTCAAAATGTTCACCTTTTGTTGCCCAAAATAAGACTTTTTCCATATTTATTTACAAATTGTATCTTGCAACATCCAAGTGAAAAAAGAAAGCAAAAATTTTGAAAAAAAAGTATAATGGGTTGGATAAGAGAACACCCCCCTGAGTTAATACTCGGTGAAAGCACCTTTTGCTTGAATTATGGCCTTGAGTCTGTTTGGATACATCTCTACCAACTTTGTTGGTAGAATATTTGTCCATTCCTCCTTACAGAATTGTTCGTGCTCAGTCAAACTGCGTGGTGACCGTTGATGGTATTTAGGTCAGGGCTCTGACTAGGCCACTCAAGGACATTCACCTTCCCGTCCTTCAGCCACTGTACGATTGCTTTGGCGGTGTGCTTTGGGTCATTGTCATGTTGAAAGGTGAACCATCTTTCCATTTTCAACTTCCTGGCTGAGGGCTGCAGGTTTTCTGCAAGAATTTGCTCCACCACCATGCTTTACTGTAGGAGTGGTGTTTTTGGATGGTAAGATGGTAAGATGTATTGGGTTTTTGCCAGATGTACCGTTTTGCATTCCGGCCAAAACGTTAGATTTTGGTCTCATCTGACCGCAGCACCTTTTTGCCACTTGGCAACAGGAAACTAAGGTGCTTTTCAGCAAATCATAAACAAGACTTGATGTGTTTTTTTTTTTGCCACCTTCCCATACAGGCCAGATTTGTGGAGTTCTTTTTGTTGTCACATTCACACAATGACCAGTCTTTGCCATAAAGGCCTGCAGCTTGTTCAAAGTTACCATCGGCCTCTAGGTAGCCTCCTTTTTGCTCAGTCATCCAGTTTGGAGGGACGGCCTGATCTAGGCAAGGTCTGGGTGGTGCCATACGCCTTCCACTTCTTAATGATGGTCTTGACTGTGCTCCATGCGATACTTTAAGCCTTTGAAATCTTTTTATACCCATCTCCTGACTTGTGCCTTTCCACAACTTTCTTCTGAAAGCACCTTTCCGCCCATAGTGGATTACGTGCTTTGAAATGTACTTCCAAGCAGTGGAATCCTCTCGAAACAGCTGCTTTTATTCTGAACTAATCAAAATCACCACAATTGGAAGCCAGTTACCACAGGTGGGAGCCAATCAGTTTGTTGTGTGAGGTGATTGGTTATACATGAGCAAGTTTACAAATGCAATTGTAAGGGGGGGTTTCAGTTTTCCAAATAAGGTATTTTACTGTTGTAATATTAATTTTCAGAATGTTTTAGAATTTTATTTTCACTTGGCTAATGTGAGTTAGTGTGTGTAACAAAAAATGGAACAAGCCTAATTTAATTTGTTTTTATTTTCAGAGTGTCATACAACAAAAAGTACAATTTTGAAAATGGGTGATGACTTTCTATATCCACTGTAGGCTTGGTATTAGTGATGCAGTCAAATGCATACTGTGTTCGCCAATTTGTTTACTTCAGTGTATCACATTAGTAAATAAACCTCACCCAATCATTGATATTTACTCCTGTGGCAAATATCCTGGGTGTATTTTGTGAAGTGTTTATTTTGTAAAGCCAGTACAGAACAAAGTGACAGAAGTGCAGCTTTTCAGGTTTGTACTATAATACTTTTATTTTCCATGTGTGAGCATATTTCCCTTAATAGAAAAAAAGGTTTTCCCAACTGTACAGTAGAGGTATTGGGTATTTTTACATGCCTAATGAGGCATTACAAACCTAATGAGAATGACCTGTGTGTCCAGGAGGTGGCAGTTTCAGCTAAATACTATACTGTATTACAAATTACTGTATTACAGAAATTTAGAACTGCAACTATCCTAAGTAAAAAACCCATGGCTTTATTGACCATCAGATTTTCCATGACTTCAGACTTCAGCAGAGGAAAACAGGAGCTTGATTTACAGAAGAGGATGAAGAGTATAGTATGATATTTAGAAAACAGGAATCAGTGAAAACAAAGTGGTCCATGCTTTTCATTAATTATGTATGCTGCCTGATTTAACTCCTACAGCAGGGTGTGGCTAGATAAAATTGGATGGCATGTACCAACCTTCTTATTAGCTCACTTTTGGCAATACAGTTGAACAGATATAGGTAGATGTTCTACAGAGCACAAGAATATTGCATACAAATAGGACATAGGTTTAATTGTAGTTCACCAGCATTGGGTGCTCACTGTGTTACAATTATGTTAGTGAAAATACGGCAACTTTAAGTGAAGTGAAGGGATGACTTCTGTGGCTTTTCAATGATGCTGTTTTTTTGTCTAAGTATCCTGATAATTCCTAACTTTAGTTACCCTTAACCTACACCTCTTAATGATTTTATATTGAGGTTACTTGTATTATAATGTATTGTCCTCCCTTTGGTCCCAATGCCAGGTATGCACTGGGCCTTACTGGTGATGCTGCATTTGACCTACTGTATATTATTTGCAGTTGGGTTTCATTCTAACTGTTGTCTTTAAGTATTAAATCCAGCTGGGAACACTGGACACATGCTGTTTAGGTGATTGTAATTAATGCTCAGAACCACTAATGTGTATATGATATAGTTTAGCAGTTCTGGTTGATTACCTTTTCTGAAACTTCTCAGTAGCCAATAGTGGAATGTATTGTGTTTCAGTATAACATGTCAATGCTATTTTCTTGCTATACTGCAAAAAAAGCCAATTACAAGACATTTTACACTGTTCTTGATGTTCAAATTAGCATTTTTCTTTGTTCTCTCACAATTTCTCTTGCCTTTTAAAATTTTCAGATCTTTTGAGTGCTAGGCTAACTTAAAATGGAAGAATAATGTTGTTTCTTAAGTAAGCTTTTTGTAATGTTTCCTGATTTGTAACTTATTTGTTAATTTTTCATGCATACCAATAAAGGCCAAACTGGGTTGCATTAGGCTGTAAAAGTTTCTACTGCAAAGAAGCACTTCTCTATTGTCTACAGTGGTTCTCAAACTGTGGTACGTGCCCCCAGGTGGTATGCCAGATGACCCTGGAAATTTGTTGTGTGCACTGAAAAATCCAAGATCCAATGAGAACGAGGAGGATTATACATCAGCCACTAGGGTATTACCATATTTACACATCCCAAAAAAAAGAGGACACCCTGAGGAACTTTCCTATTGCCATGTCTGGGAAGGGGGTCAGGATGGAGAGGGTTTTCAAAATATCCCATGTTCATTGGTAAAGTAACTGTGATAATGTTTGACTGTGTGAAATGCATAAGTCCCCTATGCTGCAATAACAGTATCCTCTGTTTTGCTGCCAGATTTCACAAAATAATATGTTAATTTGGTTGATGAACTCGCTTCGAATTGCCTTTTTGTGTTTTTCTGAGTCAACACGAGCTTGCAAGTCAAGTACACCTTTTTTTGCCACTGAGACAAAAGTACCAGGTTTACACACCAAACTTTCAGCTTCCCAGTCTTCTCTGCCTCTTTGAAAACACAGAAATTTATTTTTTGCTTTGGAATTGTATTTGAGGAAAACGAGAAACAAAATAGGGAGCCTTTCGGGGGAATGCTTGGTGTCGTGTAGCGAACTAGAGAAGTTAATAAATTATCTCGCTCTCTTTCTAACGTCCTCATCTACTATCTTTAAAACTTTTGTTAATTATTCTTCATGGTGAAAATAAAGCCGTTGAAATACCGAACATTTTTTCTTCATTGAGGTATTTAATTGAAGTATGTACCTTGTTTTGAGTAACACTTAGTAAAAGAAAGTAAACAAATGGTTTACCACTTTATCCTTTATCAACAGCCAGCCTATTTTCATAGGATGTTTTCAATTTCTCATTTAGCACCTCTTTTAGTTCTCATTTGGAGCTGGCCTTTGGATGGAAATTGAGATTTTTTTCCACATGATTCCTATGAACATTATTTTGGGGATTATTGATTTAAAATTACATTTTTTCAAGTTCAGAAAGAATTTTATAACCTCATTTATTTATTAAAAAGTAACTTAGTTTCAGTTACAGAAGTTCAACACTTACCTAACTCTGCACTACATATTATATATTTTATGTTGTAAGTCATGAATAGCATGCAGTCTACTTTACCAAGAATGACAAATCTCGAATAAGTAATTGTAAAGTTATAAGCACGACATGGAATGCTACAAAGATCTGCAACGTTGCTCTCTACTGGTGAATTGTGGTATTTGCTTTTTCAGGGCTTGTGACAGATAGATAATACTTTATTAATCCCGTAGGGAAATTGATGAATTTGTATGACATACTTGGAACTGTTTTTCATGAAAGAGGTTTCATATACACAGAAGATCTCTTAAGCAAAATTATTTTCAATTGTTACTATTTACATCTGTTATCTTCAAGGTTTCATACCTTCAGTCTTTCGTTTTCTTTCCAGTATTTTTAATACTGTCAGATTTTTGCTTAAGTGGCTTCAGTGGTCTAACATTTTTCCTGGACAAATGCTGACATTGGTGATCTGCTACCTTTACATCCAAAGCAAGGGGGCCGGTAAGTGTGCCACACTTGCAGGATCTCGGACGAATGAAAATCTTCTACAATGTGGAATATTTTCCACATCTTCATATTTTAGAATATTTTATTTGTCTGGGATTTCATTTTGTTCTTCGATAGTCCATGTAAATTTTAGTTCTCAGGGAAAGTTACATTTTTCCTGTCTGTCTTGATGTGTACAATATGATTGCTCTTCCCTTGTTCAAAGTCACAGTTGTTAAATATCAGTCATTTCTAATGTTACAGTATTCTGTTGGTAGGTCAAACTATAATAAATTAATTAAACAAAATTAAAAAAGCTAATTAACCCAGTAATGTGGGGGAAACTATACTGATGGAAAAAAGAAATGCAACATTTTCTGGAATGAGAATACTATAGTTACAGCTTATGTACTTTCACAAAAAGTTGTGAATTTGTTTTAAGCCCTCTGACCAGCAATGCGACTCTTCAATCACACAAACGTTTTAGTTTCACTTTTACCCAACAAGGTCCAGGTGGAACAATTCCTGATCAGGTCACCTTTAAAAAGGCCTTCATTCAAAGCTTAGGTCACTGCAAGAAAGAGGCCACACTTCGTCCGTTTTCTGTGCATTCCATAATGCCTCGAATGTTACCAGTAGCAAGGGAGAGGGCCATTAGCATGCTGCAAGCAGGCATGTCATGTGCCAGCGTTACCAGACACTATGGTGTAAGCTGCTCCACTGTGTTCCGACTGCCTGCATCAGTGACAGGACAGTGAGGCTCCATGCTGCTGGCTTTAGAGGAAGGCGACCTGTCAGAGGCACTCTGCTCACACCTCCTAGACGTCACACCTGGCTTGGGCCAGACGGAGGCTGTGATGGATAAGTCAGCAGTGGCATCATGTCATCTCCACAGATGAGTCACTCTTCAGCCTGCTACACACAGACGGAGGTGTTGCATTGCTTTTTTCCATCAGTATATATATTCATGTATTTATCAAAATCAACTGATGTAAGCATGCTTAATTCTAACATTATGAAACCAAAACGTCTTTGAAAATTATTAAAATTGATTGATCATCAGTGTAGCCCTCACATGTTCCTATTCACTGCTTTGCAGTGTGACAAAGGGTTTATAGGACAAATACCAAATATGCTATCATTGCCATTCATTCTTAGGGACTGCAAAGCAAGTGGTCGGAAAAGTACATCCAGACACATTTCAAACTTTTAAATTGTTTACCGGCCTTCTCTTGAATGTTAAGGTGCAGTTCATTTTGATATCTTTATTGCAGTGTAAATGCCTTATTGTGATGTGGTCTGACAGTAAGGATAATGTTCAGAAATCATTAAATGTAACAGTAGATTATTGTTGGTGAGATGTTAACACTACCTTTTCCAATTCAATATTCTTTTCATGCTTCAGGGAAGATGGTGAAAAAAGTGTGCCCCTGCAACCAGCTATGTAGTAATTATCTATTTTTTTAACATTTTACCCCCTTCCCCTCCTTTCCTTGCCTGTGTCATTGGTCTATGGCTGCAAATGAATGCCTAAGCCATTGCTTCTGTATTGTCAGCCTGACTTTAACATTTATCTTCTTCAGAAGATGGTTCTTATAGACGTATTGGCCCTTACCATTAGGAGTTAGTACCCATTTTACCTATTATTGTAACTCTGCACTTTCTATCCCATAGAAAAATTATTGTTCCATTTTCACCATGGATCTTTTTGGTTCAAAAACACATTGCAAAATGGACCAGTACTTTCTACAGACATTTTCACTGCAGAACTTCAGTCTTTCCAACATAATGGTATCTGTTGTACATTATGTACAATAGTAGACACTTTGTGCATCACTAAATTTATCCAGCCAGTTACCCAAAAGTACATTAAAATTGTCTATCCTTCGCTCTACACTGTGATTATCATTAGCTACAGACTAGAAAAAAATGGTAAATGCTGAAGTCAGGACTGGGGCTGTTTCCTTTGATTCCTAGCATCACCCAGTAATAAATGGACTTAAAGTTCATACAGTTGCTTTGTACATTTACATTTTATTTCTGCTTATAGCCCACATTTCTAACAGTTTTATTTTAGTTGAAGTCCATCATTATTCTTAAGTGGGACAAATCCTTGTTTTTTCAAAGTTTATTTTCTAACAATGTGCATACTTTGATTTTTAGAACAGGGTGAGCAATATTGGGGTCACAGTCAATTCAGTTGTAAATCCTTAGGCCACTTCACTGGCCATAAACAAAGATCTGCAGCCCCCCCCCCCCCCTCCAACTTCCACATATACACCCCTTATTCTCTTTGTAAAGAGTAAAAGCAGATGTGTTGGCAATTTTCAGGTTGTTAATCTGTAATTCCTTAGTTAATAAAGGTGTATTATTTGACTGATATTTTCAGTCAACTTTGTTTTACCAAGTAGTCATGGAGACATGCCTACTGGCACTCTCTGACTGAACTTGATAATTCATTTGGTTTCTTTGTGACTTGCTGTGGGTGGATTTAGGGTTCTGTGAACCTTAAATATCACCAAACCTTAAAAGGATATAATTAAAATAAGGTGTACCTTAAAGAACTAAACTGTATCAATAACAGAATAAAACAGTTTCAAATACAAATGCCAATACTTTTGTCTACGCCAGTAACTGTTTGCCTAACATTTAAATGCTGTCCAGCAAAAGCAGATTTTTTTTATATAAAGATATTCTTTGAAGCACTTGAAGAGAAAATACATTAATCTATTATATTATCATTTAACATAACACGTCTTGGAAAATGTTTAATTAAAATGCAATTGATTACATATATTCCCTGAACAATTGAGAGAAAGTGGAAGATTTTTTCTTCCCAGAAAGCAAGCAAAATGCTTCTCAGCAGTTTTAGTGTTAACTCAGAAATGCCAGTGTAAGTGTTGTGGTCTTTTATTGGCTGTGACCAGATTGCAGTGTTTTTCTGTTCTCATTCAGACAGCACAGTATTGGTTTATTTTAACAAAGGTGTACATTAGAATGTGCTATGTCTGTCATTTGTCCCCTTGTCATGTTTTCTTTATTAAAAAGGGGCACCTTTATTGCTCCCTTTGGTTTTGGTTTGGTTTTGTTAATTATTGATTACTTTGATAACATTATGAACTGATTTCCAGAATGTATGGGGAAATTATAAATAAACCTCACACAAATTTGTAATTTTGCATTTTTTAATATTAAAATTGCTCATGAATATGTTATGAAATAATATACTTTGAAAAAGTAGAACATATTTAATTTTTCAGCTTGCTTTGTATTATATGGTATTCCTGAGAGCATCTATGGCTGGGTGAGATTTGTGGATATCTGTGCTTGGGGCAGAGTAGTGGCTCTGTGACTAAGGATCTGCGCCTGTGGCTGGAAGGTTGCCGGTTCAAATTCCACGCCAGCAGAGGAATCCTACTCCGTTGGGCCCCTGAGCAAGGCCCTTAACCCCAGCTGCTCCAGGGGCACTGTATAAATGGCTGGCCCTACGCTCTGATCCCAAGCTTCTATCTCCCTGTCTGTGTGCCCGTTTGTCTCATGGAGAGCAAGCTGGGGAATGCAAAACGACATTCCTAATGAAATAAATTATATATGACTAATTAAGTGATGTCTAATTCATATGATGGCACTACATTTTCAATAACTGTAAGCAGGTTACTTGTTTTAATAGAATAAAAAACAGGTTTGATAAGCTTTTAGAGAAGATTTTGTATACATCTGTTATATTTTGGATAATAAACAGCAAAGAAAGAATTAAAAAAACAGTTGTCTGCCTGAATTGATGGTTAACTGTACATGTTATAGAGTCTTCAATTCCATCCAACTAGTTAAGGTTATTTAAGCATTCTCATGTACGTAATTTTTACCGTAATTAGTTTTCTGTTTTAGACAGAACTAGACATTCCCATAATTTAGGGCTTCAAATTAAAGACTGAATTGCCTGTTTTAGATCTGACTGGGGGAAAAAAATCTTTAAAAGACCTAGAATAATGGACCTGTGTGTGTTTCAGGAACAAGCAGTACCAATACAGTCAGTGGGACTGGCCAGGGACAAACTCAGCCACCCACCACTGTGCCGCAAACCAGGAAGGGCACCTTCACCGATGACCTGCACAAGCTGGTGGACAACTGGGCCAGGGATGCAATGAACCTGTCGCAGGGCAAGAGAGCCACCAAACAACCCCCTCACCAAACACAAGGACACTGCTACACTGATGTAAGAAAACAATTCCTCTTTTCTAAAATGCCTAAAATATATTTTTTCTAGGATACCTAAGTTTAAAAAAATAATAATTTTCCATGATTCATGTTAAACTTGCTTCTAAAATTTTTTAAAGGTCTTGAATTGAAATATTAATATTCTTATAGTTCAGGTGCGTAGCTATATCAACATGCATAGTCTGCAAAGGAACAAGTAATTGGTTTATTCCATGCTGAAGAGAGAACACTGTGAAGCCTTCTACAGGCATTTCCAGAACCAAGCACTCAAAATGTAGAGAATACCCCACCCATGTTATCGATAGGGCCCTCACCTGGTCCAAACAGCCGTCGGATCATCATCAACTCAATCAGGAACTCCTGGTCTCACAACCACATTCCTCTGGTGCTTCTCTACCACTCTAACACACTTTCTTCCCCCAGGACCATTATAAACACCTACTCCATTTTACAGGACAATCCCTCCATCGTTTCCCTTTTTTCTAACCACCCAATCATCTCTTACAGCCAAACGCCCAATCTACGTAATCTTGTTTACAGCTCCCTTGACTGCAGTCGGCAGTCATCCCCACCTGGCACCTTCCCCTGCAACAGAACATGCCGCATCACCTGCAAATGCATATCTAACAACACACTCATTCAGGGCCCCTCAAGTCAATTCCGGATCACACAGACGACATCCTGTACCTCCAGCAACCTCATTTACTCTATCTCTTGCAAAAAATGCCCAGCTATCTACGTTGTGGAAACTGGAAGGAGATTAGGAGACCACTTCAGAGAACATTTTAGGGCTGTGAAGATTAAAGATTTCTCCAAGCCCATAGTTTCTCATTTCACCTCAGATTGCCATGATCACATTGATGTCTCTGTCTCTGTTCTCAAAGAAGGGTTTCTCAACTCCCATAGCAGAAAGACTACAGAAACGGAACTCATCCTGGAACTGGGTTCACACCTTCCTCCTTCTCTCAATGACCACCTTATTTTCATGTAATCGTCTCTGTTCTCATGCCAGTTTTGAGTTCACACCTTTCTTCATCCCTCTCTACTTTGCACTTCCTAAGTGGACTCTGCCTCTCCCCCCCTACCCTCTCCCAGCTTTTGTTCTTCTCTGCTATTTAATCTTTGCTGTCTGCCCTGTCTTTCTCCCACCTGAAGAAGGCTTCACAGACTAAACGTTGTGTTTTCTATCTTCTCTTTTCAGCATAGAGTTAAACCTATTACTTGTTCCTTTAATATTCTTATACCTCCCAATAAAGCCATAAAAATCAATTTGTGTATTTTTCTCCCCAAGGTAATTCCAGCAGCCGTCATTGCCAGAAAGTTTTCAGCCCCAGGTCAGCTTTGTCCAAATATCACACCCTCTTTGGGTGGGCATACACCTATCCCAACTGCCCCTTCTACCTCCTTAGGGGTCCGCAAGGGCTCCCTGTGTCCTACCCCACAGTACGGCTTCTCTTCTGCACCTTACAGCACCCAGTGGGCTGGGTCAACTGGGAGCACCCAGCAGTCCGGACTCCTGACCACCTCTCAGCCACTTACCCAGTTCCAGGCTGTCAACCCAGGGTCCCTGCAGGGCATCCATATCAGCACTTTGCAGAAATCTGTCAGCAACCCTGCAGGACCAAACCTACGGACAACATAAGCAACCCTCTCCACTGGTGGTGATAATTAGATTGATTGATAAGCCTACATCGCTGGGTGATTTTGAAACTCAGGAGTGCTGTGTATTAGAAAAATATGTATAACCCCTCATCAAGGATTGACCAGGGATAGAACCATTTCATTCCATGATGGCCATGGATGGAAATAGTGATGTGGCCATCCTGGCACCAAGCTTTTAAAATAAAAAGACAAACCAGTGGACAGAAGAATGCAATATTCAGTGGCCAAAGAAGGTATAGTGATGGCTTTTGTTATTTCCTTAGGTTGGGCTTTGGTTCAGTTCATTGCTTAACTTACTCCTAAATATATAAATCGATACGTACATGTTTTGGTGGCCTCAATGTTAAATATCCCAGTGAATGTTTCACACTCAGCTCTGACTGACAAAGTAACCATATGTTATAACATCAAATTAGGCACATAGGTATTTATAAAGAAATGCCACACAAGTCCACCTGTTTGATTTTAGAATCTTTAACACTTGCTCACTGGATTTTGTTGGTTAAAGGTTAATCAGAACACAAAGCAGCCCACTTCTGATCTTATTATGAAAGGCATGCTCTTTTTGCTGATTCAGTTTAACAGTGTTTCCTTTGTGTTTCAATGTAATGCAATAAAATAATTGGAATATTGAAATCATAAAACTGCAAAGGTGTGGCCTTCATCAAAAATCTGTTTATTTTTTCAATGCGGCAGTTGGTTAGAATAGCAATCTGAGGAGGAGGAATTCTGAAGCCGAGAGACATTAGGCAGCATTAGTCATTAATATGTTTGTAGTTGTCTCCCACCCCCAGAATCTGTTGGTGTACAGTATGTGTTATGGGGTAAGACTTAAGAAGGACAATTGTAGTTCCAGTGTAGACTTTTTTATTGTTACCTTTTTAAAGCTGGTTTTGAAATAAGGGTGATTAATGTTAGTGCATCTGTCCTGTATGGCTGCATTGAGGTGAGTGGCAGGAGCTTCGCAAGAAGCTTCAGCTACGTGATGTATAAAAGCAGAGTGCCTCTGTAGACATTGCTTGTGAGGTTATTTAAGCTTGAAATCTATTATCTATTACTAATTGTAACAGCTTTTATAATCATGACAGCATTAGGGGGCTCTTTAAATACTTTGACTTATATATTTAAAAAAGACAAAAGCGTTCTGAACGGACATGTATTTACCCATCAGTTTTTGATGTTGAAACACTGTGATTATATAGATGTTGTTGAACAACATTAGTTTAAAAAAGTGGACCGTCGGAGGGTTACTAGAAAAAAATAAGGCTAGCTATATCCATATACAGTACTTATTGGAGACACTTTATCTTTTCCTTTGTACTTTCTTTGTTAGATAATGTGAATGTAAAATGGTTTAAATTAATGTACTTGAATAACCTGTCTTTACCGTCCCTCATCACCCAGTATGCTTGCTGGAATTATAGTGCCTTGTAGTTATTTGCTTTGGATTTGGGGTGGAGTAACTGAAGCACTAGTGCTTTGTATTTAGGGTGCTGTACTTTCCCTGTGAACTGAGTGTGAGTTAATAGAGGCATATAGGGAATGTTGTTTTGGTGCCATTTTTTAGCCTTTTGAATATGATTAAAGTCATAGAAGAAATATAATAGTCAGATGCCTAAAGATTTGGAGTTTTTCAGCTTGGACAATACAACAGCACTTGAGCCCTGAACATCTAAAGCAGAGAAACATTGAGCATTAAATTAAAAGCACGTTAAGTAAAATGCACTGCCTGTGAAACAAGATTTGTACGTCTGGAAGATATGCTTATTTCAGACTAATAGTCTTTTTTAAATGCAGTGTACGGAATCTTTCTTAAATGAATGCTATTTTCTGAGAAGTAGATAAAGGCTATGTTTTATTTTACAAAGCACATAAGATACACAGGTTGTACAGGTGGGTTCTTGGCATTATACAGGTTTTAAGCTACCTGTTTTGGAGACAATGACAGGGAGATGCCAAAGACTCGAAGCATGTGTATATCTCATCTAGAATTGTCAACAGTACACAGAAACATGTTGATGAAGAAACTAGGGCAAAGGAGCATGTTGCATGAAAGTGAAATGAAAGTCAGTTTGAATCGTATCTTAGTGGATGTTGAAGGGAAAAAAGGTGTGCCACATTGAATAGTTACACAGAGCTGAAGTTAGTTGCCCGTGCTATAAAGTAATTTTAATTCACATTTTCAAACCAGGTGTATTGAATTAGCAATTGCTATGTTTAGCTAAGTTAGGTTAAATTGGCTAAATGTGCTTAAACCTAGTTAACTCCAACCCTGTTTTTGTGTGGATGTATCATTGTAGTTATAAGATTGTTCACAACATAGAATAAATTGAAGTTCATTGATAAACACAAGTCACATTTAAATACCCACTCTGATACCTGGAGATATGTTCAAGCACCCTCTTGAGCATGTTTTTTTCACATATCTGTTATTTTCTAGGTTAGTGCCTCTAGCCAATTTATAGTAATAGCAGCTGTGAAAAAGAATGAAGCTTATGTTTTTTTGCTTTTCAACTTCTTTTTTCCACTTATATAATGGCTAAGGTTTCTTAACTGTCCCATATATAAATAATTCCCGCACGCATTGCCAAGACTTCATTATCGTACAGACATTGTGACCCTTCTCTAATTTTTCTGCTTTCTTGCTCTTGCATTCATCTGTTTCAATATGTGTCTGGATTTCTTACTCATTGACTGTGTCTTCTGAGGTTATACAAACAGTACCATTCAAAAACATGAATGGCAAACAATTTTGCATAAGCTGAGTAAATGGAATAAAACTGTCTCATCATAACTGGATACCTGGGAGGCAGAAAAAAATGATAAACTTGCAGATTACTGCATTTCTTGGGGTAGTTTCATGGAATGATAAAACACAGGTAGCACCTGAAGGTGCTAATTTTTCATGAGGTTGCTGTCCTTCATAGAACAGATGTAGCATTAATAATACATTTTACTATAACCTGAGACTTCACTACCTTGAGTTATTAAATATAACCACTTAAACTGCCCCCCTTATCTAATGCAACTTTCATTTTTCAAAATGTCATTCATAGTTTATTATGACCTCAAATAGGCTTTTATTAAGCAGTTACACCCTACATATTTGCCTATATACAGCATTGAATCAGTGTTGGAGATGCATCAGGACAGACCAGAAAGGCTCTTGCCATATGAGATCCTTGAGTTCTCTTAGATCAACTTTACATTTTCACCCAAGATTCTTTTAGATGCATTTCTCTGAGGTTCTTCTGTATTCCCTGTGGAATTAAGAAATTAAGGCAAGTCCTTGAATTTTAAAACAATATTTTAAAGAACTGTACCACAATAGAAAAGTGCAAGGTGAAAATGTAAATGAAATCTTAAAAGACTAAATGTGCACTTTCATGTTTTTCCATGTTGGCTACAGGTGATGTTACAAAGTAGTATAGCCCACTGAATGAAAATCATTTTACTCACTTCACAGTTCCTTGTTGTCAACAAATCATTCAATCTGATGCAGGATCCATCACTTGAAACTGGTCCTGTATAATAAAATTATCAGCAGGTGTTTTTGTGCTTGGTTTTGTTGTATTTAACATTTCTGTCCCCTTTTTGCTTTGTAACATGGCCTGTTTTCATGTTACCATTTTTTAAGAAAAATCAATACAGTATTACAGATAGAATTGTAACAAAACTGTGAAGAAACATCACTTTGCTTTCATAACGTTCCTTAGTTTTCTGAAAGAGAGAATGCATTCACTATACCACCACAGTAGTGCCATTTCCTTACACTAAGCAACATCTTTGCTAACTTCAGAATTAATATTGTTTACTTCTTTGTGGCTGTAATGCTTAAGAATATGCAATTATATTTTGGGATGGGGTTGGATGGTGTGTGAGAGATAGTTTTTCCTTTCCTCACTGTTGTACAATGGAGGGAAGTTACTGAATTCAAAGTGTATTACTAATTTATCTGTAGAATGCAGACTCTGCAATTATTCTTAGTTTCAATTTATTTTTTTTGTCTTTCTATAATGAATGCTGAGTAAAGTGCCGGTATATAGAAATGCCATTCAATGCAGTAACACAAAAGCACCAAGTTTCAGTGATGAAAAGTGTTTGTTTCTTTGAAAATTGCATGATAGTTCTCTGTCACTGTTTTTTTTTTTTTCAAAAACTAAACTGAGGATGCACAAAAATTGCAACTTGGATTATTTGCCATTAGTCCTCCTGTGGAACATCAACAGAACAATACTGTTACTTATTGCTACTGACCTGTCATTAAGTTATTTTGTGTTTTGTAATACATCTGATTTTTCGTTTTACTGAGATTTTGTTTGTGTCTCTCTAGGCCTTTGAGTGACTTTGAGTCATTGATTTTCTGTATGCTATTTAACATTGTACAAAATGTTTTTTTTTTAAATGTAGGGAATCATTGGCAACATGTAATTGTACGTTTGCACTAAATAAAGGGTGTTCATGCTTCATGTAAGATTGCGCTTTGCGCTCCAATAAAATTTGTTACCTTATTTGTAAACTTAATAAACAAAGATCATTCAAATAGATTTTCGACTGTTTTGTCATTTGTCTAATACAGACATACTTAAAGTTAATACTTCCCATCTTGTCTTTTATTGCTGCCAATTTAAAACACTTTCATTGAAACTGGTTCCTTCCATCCCAAACATTGCCAGTGAACACATTGACCAAGAATGGGTATGCAAAGGGACAAGTAATAGGTTTATTACATGCTGAAAAGAGAAAAAAGAAAACAACATTTCGGCCGTGGAGCCTTCTTCAGGTGTGAGAAAGACAGGGCAGAAAGCAAAGGTAATGTAGCGGGAGAACAAAAGCTGGGAGAGAGGAGGAGCGAGAGGTGGGAGCAGGGGACAGAAAGAGGCCAATTAGGAAGTGTGAAGTCAGAATAGGTGAAGAGATGTGTGAAATGAAACCTACATTGAATAGAGAGAATTTAGAAGAAAAGTTGAGAGTTAAGAGAAGGGGGAAGGTGTGATCCTAGCTGCAGGATAATTTTAGTTTCTGTAGTCTTTCTGATGTATGAGTTCGGAAAACTGTCTTTGAGAACACGGGCGGAGAGATTAGTGTGATCGTGGCCCTTCAGAGGTGAAATGAGAAACAGAGCTTGGGGAGATCTTTAATCTTCACAGCCCTAACATGTTCTTTGGAGCAGTCTCCGAGTCTCCTTCCTGTTTCTCCAATGTAGATGGCTGGGCATTTACTGCAAGATACTGTAAATCACACACGATCACACTAATCTCTCCGTCCGTGTTCTCAAAGATAGTTTTCCGAACTCATACATCAGAAAGACTACAGAAACTAAAATTATCCTGCAGGTAGGATCACACCTTCCCCCTTCTCTTAACTCTGAACTTTTCTTCTAAATTCTCTCTATTCATTGGAGGTTTCATTTCACACCTTTCTTCACCTATTCTGACTTCACACTTCCTGATTGGCCTCTCTTTCTGTCCCCTGCTCCCGCCTCTCGCTCCTCTCTCCCAGCCTTTGTTCTCCCACTACAGTACCTTTGCTTTCACCCTGCCCTTTTCACACCTGAAGAAGGCTCCACGGCCGAAACGTTGTGTTTTCTTTTTTCTCTTTTCAACATGGAATAAACCTATTACTTTGTCTTTTGCAGCCTACACATGCTGGCACAGCTACCCACCTGAACTACCACAATAATGTGTATTACATTCACAGTGTAATCCTAGAGATTCTCAAACTGTGGTTTGTGATCCCTTATGGATAGCACATGTATGTGGTTCACAGGATGATTTAAGAAAGGTCTGCAAAACAAAGGGGACTTTCGTTCAGTAATTTACCAAGTTACTACATTTTAAAGGTACCCAGAGTTTTAGTCTCAACCACCTGGATAGGATGTGTGTTTAAGATACCCACTACTCATTGATTTTTCTATCTTAAATGACCCTTACATTTCCAATTATAACCCTGTAATCTTATTTCACTACTAAAACACTTCTTGTGAAACAGCCCCCTGAGCTGAAATTATCTATGATGTTTAGAATTTTGTATATCTTGATCAAATCTCCCCATCTTTCTCTGTTCTAGACTAAAGAGATTTACCTCCTTCAACCCGTCCTTATACAACAGTTCCTGAAAATGAATCATTTTTATTATTCTTAGAGTTCACAAGCTATAATATCTTTTCTGTGGTATGGTCCCCAAAACTGAACTTATTCTAGATAGTCTTAAGAGTGCATTGTAGAATTTAAGCGTAGTTTCCTTGTATTTAAATTCCACATATGCAGTATATGTAAGCATTCAATTGGCTTCTTTTGGTTCCCTATATTGTCTTTGTTAGGACCGGTGCCACCAGTGGTTCTATCACATCTATTCTGTTAATTATACCCTGGTTGTAAGAAAAGATTAACACATCTGTAACACATTAAGAAGCAATCATTAACCATTTCAACTATTCAACCTCTGTATTCCCCGTCACAGTATCCCAATATACGTGTGGAAAGCTAAAATATCCTCACATTAAAGAGAAGAAAGTCCAAAGCAGTTTAAAGAAATTGCAAAGTGTCAAAAGCTCTGTCAGTATAGTGACAATTAAGTTTGGATTTAGAATCTCCGATATCCAGGATACATTGACACCCAAAGGTTCCCAATGAATGAAATCATTTTTAAAGAGACATTTTGAAACTAAATATTCAAACTTTTTGAGAAAACTGTCTGAATATGTTGAAACAAGATTTGCAAATTTAAAGCGTCAACAGAGATAATAATTATAGAATAACAGCGAGAGAGCTGTGAAGTTCTTGTATCTAGTGTTACTGGTATTTGAAGTGGGGAAAAAAGAAAGTTTCCCCCAGTCTAAAAAACTTAATGATGGTAAAATATTTTAAAGATATAGGTCTGTTTAAGAACTTAATTCCTGGTAAAAATAATACAAATAAGAAGCTTTGTCTTTGTCCTGGATCATGTTTCCCAGAGAGTGTAGACAGGCTTTGGGCACAGACAAGAGACCAGAATTAGATGAGCAAAGGTTGAGAGGCGGGGAGTAGGGCATTAATAGCTCAGACAGGTACTGAGGTGCCAAGCCATGCAGAGCCTTATAGGTGAGCATGAGGATTTTGAAGTCGACACAGAACTTGACAGGAAGGAGGTGCAAGGACTCCAGGATAGGAGTAATGAGATCACTTGCACTAGACCTGGTCAGGATTCTGGCTGCCGCATTTTGGATATACTGGAGTTTGTTCAATGTGGATTTAGAAACCACAGCGAGTAGAGCATTACAGTAGTCAATTCAGGAGAAGATAAATGTGTTGATCGGCTTTTCAGCCACAGTTAGTGATAACAACATAGGGCATAGTCTAGCGATATTTCCTAGCTGAAAGAAATATGTTTTGACAATATGCTGTGCATGTGGTCGCATGTCAAGCCTGAATCAAATATCACCCCGAGGTTTTTAAATTTTAGACTGAAGCTCAAGTACAGTACCATCCACAGATAGGGTTACAGCATTACAAAGTTGATAGGGGGTGCCAATAAGCATGACTTCAGTCTTGTCACAGTTTAGATAAAGGAAATTTTGAGTCATTCATGTCAGAGATGCAATTAGATACAATAGAGACAGCCACATCGTTGTCAGGTATGATATGGATGTATATTTGAGTATCATCAGCATAGAAATGATAGTTGAGGCCATGTGATCTTAAAATCTGACCAAGTGGAAACATGTAAATGCTGAAAAGTAAGGGGCCCAGTGTTGAGCCCTGAGGAACACCAGACTTAATGTGTCCAGTTTCAGACCTCAATCATCCAAGAGAAACAAAGTAACAGCAATCAGTGAGGTAAGACTTGAACCATTTGAGAGAAGTGTCAGAGACTCCAAACACAATCTCAAGACGAGGAAGTAAGATATCATGGTTAACAGTGTCAAAAGCAGAATGAGGATAGAAAGAGAATCAAAAGCTATTTAGAAGATCGTTAGAGACTGACCAAGGCAGTTTCTGTGCTCTGAAGTTGTCAGAAGCCAGATTGGAGGGTTTAGAAGAGGTTATTTGCAATTAGGCGGTTATTATATGTCACTGAAATGTCACAGCACGTTCTAGAATTTTTTCAAGAAAGAGATAAGTTGGAGATGGGGCAAAAATTGTTTATATTGTCTAGTGCCATGTTAGGCTTTTTTGGCACGGGGGTAATGGCAGCAGTTTTGAGGACCGTTGGTACAACACCAGTGCTCAAGGATTCATTTATTATATTGACGTCAACAGGGCAGAGAGAAGTGAAACAGGACTGAAATAAAGTGCTGGGGACAAGGGATCTAATATACAGGTGGTGGATTTCATACTGTATGTGAAACCAGAGAGAGAAGAGAGAAGTTAAAAAGAAGGGAACCAGAAAAGGCAGGGAGGAGGTGTGGAAATTATATTCATTGTGGAGAGAATGTGATGCCGGATGTTGGATCTTGGAGCTAAAGAAATTTAAGAATGCGTTGAAAAGTTGAAGTGAGGCAGGTAATGTGGAGGGGCATTTTAGCTTTAGCAGTCTATTGATGGTGGATAAAAGATGCCCGGGGTTGTTATGGGTATTTTCAATGATGTGAGAGAAGTAGGTGGATCTAGCAGACTCTATGGTATACTTATATTCAGACAAGTAATCTTTCCAAGCCTGATAATGTACACTTAGGCCAGAAAGACACCACCTACGCTCAAGTTTCTGGGAGACTGACCATCACAGATGGTCAATGTACCAGGGAACAGAGCAAGAAAAAGAGATGGTTCGAGTTTTTAGAGGAGCAAAGGTGTCGAGGGTAGATAAAAGAGCAAATTAAGCAAATTTATTTTGTCCTCTGGAGCAGTGGTTCTCAAAGTGTGGACCTAGCCATCTTTCTTAAAGCAAGTCTACACTGTTTAGGCTAGAGGAAAGACTATTGTAGCGTCCACTACGAAGGGGCTCCCCCTAGGAGCACGGTTAAGAACTCCAAGTTGTAAATAGTTGGACAGTTATCTGCATAGTAAGAGTGACTTGTGTGTTTGATCTAGGTATCAGGGTTTCACCAACATTATTAGAACTGTGTGTGCCAGTAATGGGGCAAGCACCAGCCTAGTTGTCGGCCAAAGTTTCCATTCATTCTCCTTGGCTGTACCCTTCTGTTGTCTTTGTGTTTTAATGAAGTTTGAGTTATGGAGGACAATCTCGCCTTCGTTCTCCCTGTCAGCATCAGCGCCTATCGCTTCAATGTTTTAGTTATATGCACCACAAATGAAATTATGTCACAGTCAATTTGGTGGCGACATCCTTGCTGCCATGCAGCAGTCTGTCATGATTGCGTGCTTAAGCTTTTTACATTTTGATATGTGAGTGTGGCTCGACCATTGCACTTATCATTGTTCGAACCGTTTTGTTCTTACTTTGGAATATTTTACTTTGAGCTTGAAAGTTCAAAATGTAATTTAAAGAAGCAGTCAGAACAGAAGGGTTATTATGGATCGCTGGCTTAAATCTGGGTCTCTGAAAAGCAAATATAGCGACAATAGTGACAGCGCAAGTGTGAGTAAGATGCAGAATAGAAGCGAAA